GCCTCCAAATATGGTATCTATCTCGTGGATAGGGGCCTCATCTTGAGCTTGCTTATTTCTAGGTGCAAAACCTCGGCCTTTTCCTCTATGGGGTCCCTGCTGGGTCTGTATCTGATGTGGGTCAGCGGTTTGGTTGACATCCTCATATGCCAAGGTTGGTACCGCGTTCAGAGTTGTGGTGGCCAGGGCTTGGCCGGAGTTCTCATTTCCAGATCGGTTCATCTGGTAGTCCATGAGGTGGGAGGTCGGCCCCCTTCCTCGCTGTCTCTGAGGAGGTGGGAGGCCCCTGCTTGCCCTGTTTATATGCTCAATCAATTCTTCATTGATTATCTCCCTTCTCATCATCTTTAGTAGGGCGTCATAGGTGGTTGGGTCTTGATTCTGCACATCCCTCCAGAATAGGGTGTTCATGTTCAATCCTTCTCTCAATGCAGATAGTGCTTCCCTGTTGGTGACTCGTACACAGTAGGTCATTTCGTCGGTGAAGCGGGATAGGAAGTTTTTCAAGGACTCGTCATGCGCCTGTCTCATGTCTTGAAGACGCTGAATGGGGGCCTCTCCTTCCTTGCTCACTACAAACCTCTTCAAGAACGTAGTTTTGAACTCGGGCCAGCTTCGGATGCTCCCAGATGGTAGCCTACTATACCAGATTTCAGCCGCTCCACTGAGGGTTAAATGGAATGCTCTGCACTTCACAGCTGGGGTGGCGCCCCTCAGGCTCATGTGAGTTTTGTAAGCGTTGAGGTGCTTTTCTGGGTCACCTCTCCCATCGTACTTTGGTATTTTCGGCATGACATAGTGGCTTGGGACCTGGGCATCTCTTAGTTCTCTTGAGAATGGCAGGTTCTCATCATCATCGTCCAAGTCACAGGACCTCTGCTGCTCATCAGAATCGTAATCTTCGGCCTCGTTCCTCGGTTGTTGGTGAGAGGGTCCTAGCCGGTTCCTAGCCTCTTCCTCCCTCCTTTGCGGCCTACTTCTATGCGGGACAGCGCGGGGGGCATTTTCATGCCTTCTCTCCGACTGTTGGGGCATCGGAGGTGGAGGCTGTGGCCTCGTCCAAGGCTGCTGAGCCTGCTGTTGACTGGGCCTTAGTTCGGCAGGGCTGATTCTGTCAAAAACACTTCCTGCTCTCCTCTGTCTTGGGTCTTGCTCATACGGAGGTGAAAAGTTATCATGGCTCATTTGGACCTCGGAGGGTCGGCCAAATGCATAATTGGAGGAAATGTTAACTCCCGCTTCCCTCTCGAATGGGCTTTCACCTCGGCCATAGTCTGGCGAGGCAACCCTATGACTTTGGACTTCGTCCTCTTGCTGATAGTGCCCATGGGGGGCATATGGAGGAATGGG